GTTATTCCAGTTGGACCCATGTACAGAATCGAAACCGGACTTTCAGCGTGACGACTAGGTTACCATTACGTATCTCGTTTCTTTGTTTCTTGTTTAACGTTGTATGACGGCGGTCTGTAAATAATCGAGTCTGGACCAGACAATCCAGTGATCAACAGCAGGAGCATCGATCTACGCAATTGCGATACGATGACATGTGTCAACCATAACAGCGACCCTGACCACCCGATCCAGTTAGTCTCAGGACAAGCATGGGATGCTGACGACCAATTTTAACCCGGATCTTCAAGATCTTCAAGATTTCGAGATCTATATACTTTATGGCACATTATACCATTGTACATCCTCTTAAAAAATACATCTTGCATTGAGGATACAGGCCTGCAGTTAAACAGGTATTATGACATCTAGCTGAAACTTTCCTCACTGTATAATGAAATACAACTGAATGCCTCGTGAAACGGATCAAACCGGTTCCTTAGACATCAATGTCCTTATGCCGAGGGCAGGTCTCGTGTGATGCCCAACTAAGAAGCATGAGTATGCTGCTGTCGAACCCTGAAAGGTATTAAAGATGCATTCGGGAATCGAAACAACGATCATGACTCAGTGGCAAGAGAGGGAGGCAACTGCTTCAAAAACGGTTTCATCGTTTAGTGAAGAACATGCCCTCTGTGAACAAGTTGCTGGAGAGTGTGGCACAATTCGTCAAGATCACCCATATCAGCCAGCTTAATATATGACTTGTGTTGTGATAATATGACAGAATACTCTTTTAAATATACATCTCAACTATTGAGAAGGGTATCTGGGTGGCAGTTAGGGGTTCAAAAGAAACTAATCATTTGGGAGTGATGTCAGAGATAGTATCTATCATTCCAGTTGAACGTAATCATGTCGGCTTTATTTCGGATTACATCCTTGTAAAGGGAACTAACAGCATCTGGTGGCCAGGCTCGCTGATTTGGTTGATACATGTCATCGTATCCCAATTGCGTAGATCAATGTGCATGCTGTTCATCACTAGATTGACTGGTCCAGACTCGATTATTTACAAACCGCCGCCATATAGCTGGGATATTGCTGAGTGTGGCGTTAATCAACAATCATGAACCAATCATTTCGGAATATATCCAGAAAGATACATAATTTGATAACATATTCCACGCTATTTTTATCAGCTTAGATGAACTTTTAAAGTACATAAAGTATTTACATTTTGTCCACCAGTTGTTTAACTTGGATCCACAATTCCAGTATCCATATCAATTGCTGAGTTGTTTAGTTTATAACCCTGAAACAATGGTGTTGAAATGCATACATAGCTTGAAAACGAATGAAACACCACCATACCTGAGAGGTAATCAGACTGGTCACCTTGGTCACTGTGGTCCTTTAGCAGGTCAGCAGGTATTTCACGGACCCCTCTGTCCAGTGTGATGGTCAGCTACTCATCTACACATAAGCCCTAACCTCACAACGCGGAGAGTTTCGATAAATAACAACAGTTGCACTTAACAAATATCACACCATATATGTGCACGATCGTCAACGTCATTCACCTCCGTATGCCATGACTCATTATAAATGTGATTATTATCCTCAACTGGACATTAAGCTTTTCGTGGGTCAGTATCTGAAGGGAAGTTGCAACTCTCACCACGAGCTGCAATTAACATATAGTTTCAGGGAAAGGAACTACCTGTACATTTGACACAGCTATGGTGGATTGATAAATATAAGATCATAAATTCAGTGTTGCTGTTAACATGTATTTTCAGTGAACAGAAGCAATATTGGTACTTTCACCAAATCGACGCTCACATGTATACTGATACATACAGAACATATTTCAGGAATATGAACACCCCATGTGTCGATAGGACGGTGCAACTATATAGCTCGAAACAGGAGCTGAGATGAAACTCGGACACTCATGAAATTAGCAAAAGCAGTAATTAGATTTACATATATGCCTAAATTGATTTAATGATGAGGTGAGCTGAGCTGAAATGAGGTTTAACGTCGTACTTGAGAATATTTCGCTCATATGACGTCGTGCATGCGTGTGTATGTGTGGCTGCTTGTACTAGCCCAGATTTTAAGTGGTTTTATAGTGCTAGCTCAGTGAGATATCATGCCGCAGTGAAGCATGAATGCCCCACTCAGACACAGCATACTGACTTCGAGCAGACCAGTCCTTGTTATACCCATTAATGCCGAGTGCCAGGCAGGGACCAACAAGTACCATATTTGAACGTCTTTTGGTATGACGCGGTCGGGGATCGAACCCGCGACCTTCCGCTCTCCGGGCGGACGCACGTGGAAATTACAGCATATATATACGCAGATATGAAACTGACATGCACGTGGAAATTAGAAAATGAGTACTTAAACTCACATGCACGTGAAAAGGACATTACACGTACATGTGGAAATAATTTTAAAAGGCAGATATGAAACCCACATGGAAGTTAACAAACCGGAATAATGAAGTGCATGTGCCCGTGGAAATTACGTAAATACGGTGTGACGGATCAATGGAGTCAGTGTACATGTACATTGTTAGAGGTCCTGTGTCCCAGTTGTGGTAACGGTACAGAAAGTTCAGTACAAATAGGGCAGTTAACTGGTAGCATCAGTGAGTGAGTTAAAATTTAAAGTCACTTTGGCAATATTTCAGCCATATCGCCGTGTATCGAAGTAATTTATAATGTTATATCTTAGAATCTGTCTGAAAAGGACAATAAAGGAACTAGAATGTCACAGTTAGAGATACAAAACTAGCACGTGACTTGAAAGTATATACTATTTAGGACATTACAATATAAAAACAGGTTATAGATCACCAGTAACTGAAGGTAGATCACCATACTAGGGACTGGTAGTATCAGGGCCGGTAAATATAAACAACAGAATGTCACGACTGTGGAACCTCCTCAGGCAGACCCGTGAAGATCCGGGTTAGAATTGATCTTCAGCACCCCACGTTGTCGTGAAAGGCGACTAACCTTATCAGCTGGTCAGGCTCGCTGACTTGGTTGACACATGTCACCGTATCCTAATTGTGTAGATCAATGCTGTTGATCACAGGATCGTCTGGTCCAGACACGATTATTTACAGACCGCCGACATATAGCTGCTATATTGCTAAGTGCGGCGTTAAACAACCAACCAACCAACCAACTCTTCAGGCTAACACGGACGTTGTAATGAGACGTGGTCGATGACGGACGCTCAAAACAACCTCTTGAGCCGATCTGGTGAGGTGAGGTGAGGTGAAATTCGGGTTTCACGTCGTTCTGAGAATATTTCGCTCACATGACGACGTGCATGCGTGTGTATATGTATGTGTGCCTGCTTGTACTAGCCCAGACTTAAGCTAGTTTTATAGTGCTAACCCACTGAGATACCATGCCGCAGTGAAGTATGAATCCCCCACTCAGACACATTATACTGACTATGAGCCGAGCAGTCCTTGTTGTACCCATTAATGCCGAGCGCCAGGCAGGGACCAACAAGTACCATATTTGAACGTCTTTTGGTATGACGCGGCCGGGGATCGAACCCGCGACCTTCCGCTCTCCGGGCGGACACTCTAACCACGGAGGCGGTCGAGCCGATCTGGTAAATCGAACCCGTACCCTCGGTATAACAGGCTAACCTTTCCATCAATACGCAACAGTCATTCCACTGACATATATGCCTCGTCACAAATAATCTGCAGGTAGACAAGCAAGACGGATGGGTTATAAACACGATTTATTTACGGTGAACCCAAAACAACACAAACAATAAACATTTGTCCTCAGTATACATGGCAGGCGATTATTGATAAATGGCACAACTAGTTTTGCCTAACATCACTTACAACAACCCCCCTGTGGGGTCAAGGTGGGTGGGTGGGGCGTTATCAATATTCACACACAGCAAAAATCATTAGAGGTCATGTGCTTCTTGCTAAAAAGTCTAATCATATATAAACTGGTTGGATTGATCCAGAAAAGACACAATTTTTAATGTAAATAGAATACAACTATGAGACAAAATGTCCGATATATACAGCAAAATGTATAATCTGAACAAAGCATATTTCAGTATGAAAAGTGTATGTTGATTTGACATCATCAGTGACAACTTAGAATGACCTGTGACATTGTGGTGTCAAAATGATTAAAATATAATAATATGATATACAAATACAGTAAGACTGACGTAAATAGGCTTGAAGCAAAAGATACTTGATTACATGAGGAACTCCGTGCTTAAAGAATCCCCCAATCAAAATGTGCATTGCGTATTTACATATGCGAAGTGCAAATGATGTGTCATTATTCTAAAAACAAGTAATTGAGGTTTGAGGTAAGATAAAAAGAACACACAAATTAATAATGAATTTTCTCGTCATAAAACAAAGTACAATGTGTTTTAGTATAGTTCACAGTCCATTAAAACCCCAAAATCATACCACTGTACATTTTCTATTACATAAATAACCAGACACAAACTGGTGCTTAAACACATATGTACATCCAGCTGCACTTTGATTACAAAAATCAATAAACATAATATTCATTCAGAAATCAAACAAACAATGGTGTAAATAATTTAAACAAACATCAATGAATATAATCATGATTATACATACTACTGGTCATAAAGCGTGGCTTGGACAACATCAAGGTTACAATATCTTTTGAAAAGAACCACAAATGGCGTAAAAAAGAATGAATGACATGGATGTTTTAACAAGTACTGCAAATTGCAAGTGTGGCTGGAGTTTGATTATTATATTTCTGATATGCTACATGATAAGAATATTCAAACACTAAAATAATATTAATTATGGCTTTCAGTAACACTTTTCACCATACATAATTTCTGGAAATCAATTTTATGAGGGTGAACGTTCTGTTGGCTGCTATGTACATACATGGTTGACTTATTATTATATATTGATCCGGTACACATTACAAAGTGTCAAACAACGTGTTTGTAGTCCTGTTTTTACTAGCATGATTAAATGTTTCTTGTCAGTGTAAGAATATCTGAATTTGTGCCACAGCAAAATATACTCTCAGAACACATCTTCAAAATATTGAGAAACAAATGTACACTAAGTATCCTATTTCATTGGCACAATAACAGCCAATTGTTTCAATCCGACTGTCAAGTTAGCTATGTGTCTCTTTTACTTTCCATAATGCAAGAGCATCATTATTTTCAAGATCAAAGTGGCTGAAAATTTTGAACAATTTTTACGGACTTTCATTCATATAATAAGAAGCTGTTCAAGACAAAATACCATATAGATTTACACCCCCGAATTTCCTTAAAACATAGTCTCTATTAGATCCGTCGGCTATATTGCCATCTCTTTAACTGATGCTTCTTTGTCTTCTGAAGCAGGATCAGCAGTGGATCCAAGAACATTTTGATCAAAGTCAGCCTTTTTGTCAGGGTTGATTTGGGACATGCGTTTCCCTTTGTTGGGTTTATCATTTTCCTTCAAGTTCCGAACCTTGGGCCTTTTGCTTGTGACGTTGTACTTCCGGGCAACCCGTGCGATTCTGTTACGACAGACAATCAGGACAACGATGATGATGAGCAGCACGAGCAACGCAATCACTATACCTATGATGAGGTATACAGGTACAGATGCAGGTGTTGGAGGTGTAGTGGATGACGTGGTGATGGAGGTGGTGATGGAGATGGAGGTGTTTGTGTTGTCACTTCCTGGAAGAAGTAAAAGGGGTAAGCATTAGACTCACAAGTATCACTGCTCTAAAAACCTAAACCAGTTTGAACTGAATGACCTATGTTTAAAGTTTAGTGACCTACCGTAACAAAGAGGTCACAGAATATACTTTGAAAGATATATTTTCAGCTACATGTTTAACTGGAAACAAATAGATCTTACAACTGCAGTGAACATAGCGTCAGGTATTTAAGAATCTATAAACTACACGCACCTGTCGATGTCGATGTAGTTGGGGATGCTGAAAGCATTAACAATAAACAATGTCAAATTCTCCTTCTATTGGAATCTTTTTCTATCCAAAAATCATTTCATATGGTTCGATCACTGGAATTTTATTATGCCAAGAATGTTGATATGATAGATTCTTTAAAAATTATTAATCCATAGAATTACAGAACGGGAATGACACAGAGTATGAATATGCGCACATGCAGGCGTTGACGTTGGTGGTGTTGCAGTTGATGTCGCTCCAACTGCAAAGGTAAAATAATGATTATAACATGAAAGAGGACATTTCTCCTTCTACAAACAAGAGAAGAATGTACAAACGTAATTCAATACTGCCGAGTAATACATTGTTGGTGAAGTCGAAGTGTAATTAATTGCAATGTTTCCTTGAAACCAATGTGTCTTTTGTATTATGCGTAATGTAGAGCTTCTTATAAAACTCATACCAAATACATCGTCGTGGTCAAACTATATATGAGGAAGCTGAGACGTAGAATATAAACATACCTAATATATATATGTGTGTACACCTTTATGTGTATATATTACGCAATACCAGTGATATTGGGTCTTATGTATTGAACAAGAAGGTGTCATGGCGAGGGAAAAACAACGAGTTGGAAGAACAACGTTCTTTTTCACCTACCAAGACATCTTCGTGTTCAATACAGGAGGTCCAAATGCACTGGAATGACATTCTATACTTATCAATACAGATTGTATTAAGCGAACAACTGTATTACTATCTTAAAATGAAATGGAAATGTAATAACAGACTCGTTTGCAATTTTGTTGAATTATAGTCTGGTCTATGACCAGGAGCAAATTCACGAGGTAAAGGATCGTCCAGGGTCTGGACAGCCTCGTGAGACGAGAGGGTGTCTTGTAGCGTTGCTACCTGCTGCGCGTGGTTAGGCGACGCTCCTTTGTATCAGGCTTGGACATCTAAGGATGGATGTTATCTTGAATTGTCTCACAGCAAGACAAAGAAATTAAACAGATTGTGACATTGTACGTATGATTGTTTGTTTTATATTTATAAATGAAAGATCATCCAGAGATTCCCACACACAAGAGTGGCATTTGCGTCCCTGAAAAATACCATTATGCTTGGCTCAAAACATATGGCAAAGATACTCGTGCAGCATAAGGATTTGAGTGTGACTCTTTTAGAGTATGAAATAAATTTCCGTGCATGGAAACTCGCAAGGTAGGGTTTGTCAAAATTAACAAACAATTGTACTTTTGTTTTAGTTATTAGTATTTCAGTCTGATCATGTTGATTAGACAAACTGGTGATTAACATCATGAGCTTCGAACAGCAAAACGTGGATGCAAAGGCATCCTTTCCAGCGAGTCCACCGAATATGATACGGTCGCCTCCAACGTCATGTTTTAACTTTTGTCGGAAACCATCACGTGCCCAATCCTTTAATTACGTCACGATTATATATTTTGGTTTGTTACTGACATACACAGAGACTCCTAGAACCGCCCTCGGACACTATACTTACCTACAATTATCTTCTTGTCGCCGCTGCAACTAAGTTCACGATGTGTGCCGTCACATGTGAAGTTGATTTTAATGTCTCCGTCATACGCAGATGTGACTTCCAAGGTCTTGCTGACGATGGTACTGTTAATGTCGACAACGTGGTGTCTGGGTACCAGCTCCTGCTGGACACTTCCGGTGATGAGGTCGAATGCAGCCTCCTCGGTGCAGTAGTAGTTGGTGATGTTGACAGTGAGAGTCAGGTTTGTACCAGGAATCAGGGATCCATTCCTGGAGCTGCTAATGTCACACTCCGGAGGACCTATGCATGAAAGGTTACACCAAATATGGATTCCATAACTTTAACAAGTCAATGGTTACACACGTGTTATTTGTATGATGTGACACGCTATATTTTATCCATTAATACGTTTTGGAAGTCAATACTACTTTATACACAAGATATGAAAGAATGAGAAAGCATGAGTGTACAATAACTTTAAAAAGTAAGAGGGTAAGCTAAGTATTATTATTGATAAAAATATTTTCTTATAATAATCATCACATTTATTGACGTGAGTATTTCTTACACTCGAAAAAGAACCTGTAAAACTGAGTTGAAGGGAACGTAGGACAGAATCACAAAAACATTATATTTGCTTTAAACTCTTTTAGGCATGAGAGGCAAGTGTGAGTCTGATTCTTCTGACAATTTGAGTTGCATAGATAAGGTGTGTGTGTTCTTCGATTGTCGACTTTTATGGACTTTCATTTATAACTGAAGACTATTCATGCTTTTATTTTACTGAGATGTGAACAGTGCACCGAAATGGAACAGATACAGGAACATTTGTACATCAATAAGAACACATATGATTTACTTACACAATTTTTCGAATGTTCACACAATACATTTAAAAGACCATGTAATCTGTTTTTGATCTGATAATTTCTACTTACTCTTGAGAAGTTTCACAGCTCCATGACAAACGAGATTATACGTTGAGTTGTCACACGTATAGTCCAGTTGAACATTTCCAAGTCGTTTTAGTGTTACGTTGAAGGTGGTGTTGAGGACGATGTCAGTGACAACAGTAACTGTGTTGTTCTTCAGCAACACCTCGGGTACGTCACGGCCAGTAGTTAGTTCAAACCCTGCCTGTTTAGAGCAGTAGTAACCCCGTATGTCTGCGACCAGTGTCAGCTCCGAATTGGGTTCAAGGGAATCGTGGGGCAGAGAGCTATTGATGGTGCAAGATGGAAGACCTGTTAACAAAAGAGGAAACTTGACACTTATTTTTAACAAGATTAGTTCTCTTTTAGCTCCCGGCCGTTATCAGTCATTATTCGACTGTAGTCAACATGAAGTAAAGACAATATGGAACAAACTTGATGGATAACAACTTCTTATATTTTGGGAATGCGACGTTTTGATACAGATTCCTGTACCGTTATCAAACGGGAATTGAAAGAGGTTGTTACCCATAATGTTCAATATGTTAAGACCCAACTCCTGAAATGCCATTCAAAGAAGTACAGACAAAAAGGAAATGCATAAGGTAGGTAATGGTAGGTCGTTGATCAGTAAACCAATCTGGGATATGTTATATGTCATTCATGACCAAGCTGTTACAGTCGAGGCAATCAGGAGAGACATTCGTTTGTTTGGAAAGACTGAGCATGCTCAGATATGGTCAGGATACACCGGACTCTACAGTGCACAACAGAAAATGCAGTACTTAGTCATAATTCGCCTGACATTTTCTATCTCAAAAATTTAAAAGACAATGTCATCATGAAAACCAACCTGCGGCATTTAAATGAGATACAGACATGTTGGCTGCAGCTGCATCAGTAACAGTCCATGTTCCAACATCTTTGATCTGAACTCTTTCCATCATCAGGGTGGAGATGTTCTGCGCATTTTTCTGTGTTGCAGTGTAAGGGGATACAGCACTGCAGTCTGGGTTGCATGTCACGACGTTTTGGTTATCACCTGGCCGAACCCACACGAATTGAGGGAACATTATCTTGGTAGAGATGTTGTATTTTCCACCAAGAAGAGCAATCCCCTCGCAGGGAGTTTGTGTGGATTCTACAACTGGGATAAAATGATTATCATTACATATGATGTTACATTATGATTTCATCTAGTCTATTTTTAACCCCAAAAATAAAAAACTTCAACATATAAACCAGAAAGAGTGAGTGTAGTTTAGGACTGTTGTCATAAATAGTCCAGCTGGTGATCATGAAGGCCGAAATGTAGCCGTCATCGTCATCATCACCGACTTATAGCACAATGACAAGGGACACACAATGCCCACCCGTTCCGACTTTACTAGTTTTGACACTTGAGGATGACTGTTATTGGTTGGAGGCACAGAGGCCTCCAACATTACAATCAGGCTGAATTTTCTCTCAGGGAATGTTACAGGGAATATATGAAACCAGGGATTTCACGTAATCCCTAAAAGAGAGAGTGACCCCTGGGCTTTCATGTATTCCCTAAAATTTCCAGCGATTTCATGAAATTACTGAAATATTGGCTTAGCGATTTCATGAAATCCCTGTAAGACTTTATTGAAATACAGCCACGAGAACATTAACTTGGTACCCGAGTCAAGGTAGTAATTAGCCAAAAGCGTCATCGGTAAATTGTCAAAGTTGTCAACTCCTAAGAACTGAGGGATGACATGAGACTCAACAGTAAAGTTTTAACCGACAAACATTAATTTCACACATTTACTGATATCTTAACATGAAATATGAGTAATGGAACACCATGAAACTCAGTAATTTCATGAAATCCCTTGAAATTTTATGGAATACATGAAATCCCTGGGGGTCAGTGATTTCACAAAATCACTGACTCTCATAGGGATTATGTGAAATCCCTGGTTTCACACATTCCCTGTAACATATATACACTTGGAATATTCAAAATAACTTTCAGCCAATGATACTTAGTCTCTTTGTATTTTGGCAATTCCAAATGACCAATAAACATAGCAGTAGCAAATTAGGAGCAGCACGACCATATGGGTAATCCGAAATGAATGTCCCGCTTTACTTCATAGTTAATGAAATAGAATATAGTTAAAAGAAATCGAGTTTTCTATAAATCTAATTTAATTTATCATTTTAATCAGAAACGTTTATAAACTGATACACTTTCAATAAAAAAAACAATTTTACGCGCAATAGAGCACACTTCAAGTATTAGTTCAGTGCATAATTTAGAATTGCAGAATCGGAAAATCCTTTCCATTTTAGTAAAACCCATTAGCTTTAAGGAAAGGAAACGTACATGTTGTACAGTCTTTGTAATCACTGTGCGAACCCAGACGCCGGCAGTGGCACTTCTGAACAAGTCTTACACATGGAAACTACTGTTGCAGTGAAAATGATGAACTTACCTGTCAGCTGAACATGATGACAAATCAACAACATTGTCATGCAGTAAGCTGAGCATTAGATCCAGCGAGGCATTGGTTTTCACATGAAGAAAAGATGATTGTGATCAGGGTGCAAATCAACACCATTCAAAACCAAAGTCATCATTTTCCTATGCAGTATTAGCTGAAAGAAAATATAGGCATTAGATCCAGCGTATTAGGCATTGGTTTTCCTCGTCAGTTTATGAAGAAAAGACAGTGGACTGTGATCAGTGTACACACGTACTGGAAACAAAGTAGTGACATGGTACAAGTCAAACTGTTGCAGAGCTAATTACATAACAAGAGTTACTGAAAATAATGTATCTTATGATAAACATTCAAGGAAGTATATCATTGCTAATATTCACACAATATATCTCACATGTATCACTCAGGAAAGTAACAATCCCATAACTGTTCACGAATTCGAGATTATAGGCAATCGCAAGCTATATATTTCGAGGAAACGTGTGTGAAATGTGGCAATTTTATCTATTGTACAATAATACAATTTGCAAATTAATTCTGTAGGTATTTATCCACCATCACGATCTGACGAACACATATCAGAGAAAGTGTTCCGTGTATGATGTCACGGTTATTGGTATTGTGCGAAAGGGTAGGCAAGTGGTCAAGGTTGCATTCAGACTGGTGAAGTGTTTGCTGCCAATCCTGAAATCTTATTACCAATCCAACCATAACTGCAGCCCAGTGTGGGAAACTCATAACGTACCGTTCTAAATTGTAATTACAGGTTAATCTAACTGGTGTTTTTGGTTTTGTCAAATAATTATTTAGATCAATTCAGAAAGAACATACATTTTGAAGCATCGATTCATTATGGTCATTTCGGATGCGTTCATGAACTGAAGAGGCGACTGTCACGTCATTTACAGCACTGCGTTAGTGTTGCCAAAGTTAAATACAGGGAGTTTGCACTTGTGTGCGTACATGCGTGCCTCTGTGACGACTAGGCTACCATTACGTATCTCGTTTCTTTGTTTCTTGTTTTACGTTGTATGACAGTCTGTAAATAATCGAGTCTGCACCAGACAATCCAGTGATCAACAGCAGGAGCATCGATCTACGCAATTGCCATACGATGACATGTGTCAACTATGCCAGCGACCCTGACCACCCGACCCAGTTAGTCTCAGGACAAGCATGGGATGCTGACGACCAAATCTAACCCTGATCTTCAAGATCTTCAAGATTTCGAGATCTATGTACTTTATGGCACATTATACCATTGTACATCCTCTTCGAAAATACATCTTGCATTGACGATGCAGGCCTGCAGTTAAACAGGTATTATGGCATCTAGCTGAAACTTTCCGCACTGTATATTGAAATACAACTGAATGTCTTGTGAAATGGATCAAACCGGTTCCTTGGACATCAATGTCCTTATGCCGAGGGCAGGTCTCGTGTGATGCCCAACTAAGAAGCATGAGTATGCTGCTGTCGAACCCTGAAAGGTATTAAAGATGTATTCGGGAATCGAAACAACGATCATGACTAAGTGGCAAGAGAGGGAGGCAACTGCTTCAAAAACGGTTTCATCGTTTAGTGAAGAACAAGCCCTCTGTGAACCAGTTGCTGGAGAGTGTGACACAATTCGTCAAGATCACCCATATCAGCCAGCTTAATATGTGACTTGTGTTGTGATAATATGACAGAATACTCTTTTAAATATACATCTCAACTATTGAGAAGGGTATCTGGGTGGCAGTTAGGGGTTCAAAAGAAACTAATCATTTTGGGAGTGATGTCAGAGATAGTATCTATCATTCCAGTTGAACGAATCATGTCGGCTTTATTTCGGATTACATCCTTGTAGAAGGCAACTAACAGCATCTGGTTGCCAGGCTCGCTGATTTGGTTTACACATGTCATCTTATCCCAATTGCGTAGATCAATGTGCATGTTGTTCATCACTAGCTTGTTTGGTCCTCGATTATTTACAAACCGCCGCCATATAGCTGGGGGTATTGCTGAGTGTGGCGTTAATCAACAATCATGAACCAATCATTTCGGAATATTTCCAGAAAGATACATAAGTTGATAACATATTCCACGCTATTTTTATCAGCTTAGATGAACTTTTAAAGTACATAAATTATTTACATTTTGACCACCAGTTGTTTAACTTGGATCCACAATTCCAGTATCCATATCAGTTGTTTAGTTTATAACCCTGAAACAATGGTGTTGAAATGCATACATGGCTTGAAAACGAATGAAACACCACCATACCTGAGAGGTAATCAGACTGGTCACCTTGGTCACTGTGGTCCTTTAGCAGGTCAGCAGGTATTCACGGACCCCTCTGTCCAGTGTGATGGTCAGCTACTCATCTACACATAAGCCCTAACCTCACAACGCGGAGAGTTTCGATAAATAACAACAGTTGCACTTAACAAATATCACACCATATATGTGCATGATTCAACGTCATTCACGTCCGTATGTCATGACTCATTATAAATGTGATTTTTATCCTCAACTGGACATTAAGCTTTTCGTGGGTCAGTATCTGAAGGGAAGTTTCAACTCTCACCACATGCTGCGATTAACATATAGTTTCAAGGAAAGGAACTACCTGTACATTTGACACAGCTTATATCGTGGATTGATAAATATAACATCATAAATTCAGTGTTGCTGTTTACATGTATTTTCAGTGAACAGAAGCAATATTAGTGCTTTCACCAAATCGACGCTCACATGTATACTGATACATACATAATATAACAGAACATATTTCAGGAATGTGAACATCCCACGTGTCGATAGGCCGGTGCAACTAAACTCACGGGCAAAAGAAACGTCACCAACATTACGTTTCATTTTTTAACGAACCTTCGTATTTTTTTCAATAAAAAACGGGTTGAAACAACTTGCCCGAACGCAAACAACATACACTACGCATTGAATTGCACGAGATAAAATGTGTAGAGAAATGATGTATTGCATTATCACATCGTATGGTAAAAAGGAAACATGCCAAGACTAACAGCACAGCAGCGAGAACGAGCTATTGGTATGCTGGATTTGGGAGCGACGCAGTCCCATGTTGCAAGGTTGATGAACTGTTCAAAGCGAACAATCCTGAGATTGGTGAGCCGTTACAGACGGACGGGTGTCATGTCTGACAGGCCTAGAAGTGGACGTCCGGGGGTCACGACTCCCCCAGGACGAACGTTATTTACGACTGCTTTACTTGAGGAACCGCTTCGTAACTATGACGTCATCCGCCCGAACTGCTCTTGGCCATCCAGTCAGCAGAAGCACTGTTGCCAGACGTCTTCGACACCATGGTATCAGAGCCTATCGGCCGCTGAAGGCTATGACATTGACGCCTGAACATCGTCGTCAAAGATTGAGGTGGGCGAGAACTGTTGATCGATGGCAGGCAAGAAACTGGTCGACAACGGGTATATCGAAGGCGGGGAGAA